AGTTGCCTCCGAATTCCATGCTTTGTACAAAAATTATCAAACTCAAGGGATTTGTACTCCCCTCCACGATCAGTACGAAGAACTTTAATTAGATTGCCACTTTCCTTTTCAACAAGACTTTTAAAGTTCTTGAATGCTTCACAAGCTTCAGATTTTTCCTGCAAGAAATACACCCAAGCCATCCGACTAAAATCATCAATGAATGTGATTATATATTGTTTACCTCCATTAGAAGCTGGTGAGATTGGACCGCAAAGATCTGAGTGGACTAGCTCCAGCTGTTGTTTAGCCCTCAAAGCCTTGCCTTGTGGAAACTGAACTCGGTGTTGTTTACTGATAACACAATCTTCACAAACTCCTGATGGAACTGTGATTGGAGGAAGTCCTTCCACCATATGCTTTTGGTATAGTGTCCTTAAACCACCAAAATTAAGATGCCCATATCTAAAATGCCAAATCCATGCTGCCTCCTTTAATTTAGCCATGTAGCAAGTATGATCAGATTTAAGAAGACAGAGTGGAAACATTCTGTTTGTTGTCATCTCAACTTGAACAAGCATGTTTTGGTGATGATCATATATCTTGCAGGCTCCACCTTTAAATGCAATTTCATACCCTTTCTCAAGTAATTGGCCAGCGCTCAAGAGATTTGTCCTCAATTCAGGAACAAAAAAAACATCAGTAATGGATTGCATTTTCCCTTTTACAGAGACTTGGACAGTACCTTTGCCCATGACAGAAATAGTAGAATCATCTCCAAGCTTTACTTTGGTGCGATAGGTATCGTCAATGGAAGAAAATGCTTCTTTACTACCACACATATGATTGCTACAACCAGTGTCAATGTACCATAAACCTGGTGAAGACACTTCTTTCTCTTGACATACCATTAGAAGAACTTCTCCTTCGTTTGCTTCTGCAAAATCTTGTTCTACATCTGCTGCATCATCTTCATTTGCTGCAGTAAAATTTGTTGTTTCCACACGTTGACCGAGATTGGTCCTGCATTCAGACTTGTAGTGTCCATACTTATGGCATCTAAAGCATTCAACTTTAGATTTGTCTATGCTGCTGCGTTGATAAAATCCTCTACCTCTTCCTCTCCCTCTACCAACATTCATTCTTGTTGTTGTGGAATAACGAAAATTAGTAGAGGTCTTCAAGGCCTGCTCTTCTATGTCTCGGTCTTGGCTTTGGAGCTTCTGCTCATGAACCAATAAAGAACCTTGCAGCTCATCAATTGAAAGTTCTTCAATATCCTTAGCTTCTTCTATGGCACAGACAACAAAATTGAATTTTGGCGTAAAGGATCGAAGAATTTTTTCAACAATGGTGACGTCCCCTGTCTTGTCTCCGTGAGTTCGCATCTTGTTAACGATTGCCATCGTTCTTGAAAAATAATCTGTGATTGACTCATCTGATTTCATCCGTAGTGTTTCAAACTCCATACGAAGAGCTTGTAGCTGCTGCCTCTTTGCCCTTGCAGAGCCTTGATACTTCTTTTTCATAGAATCTCATATCTGCTTGGAAGTATCCTTGCAAAGGATTGTCTCCAAGGTCGACCTGTCTATTGCCTGAAACAAGTAGTTCTTTGCTTTGAGGTCCTTCAACTTTGTCGCTTCATAAGTTGTTCGTTGGGCTGCTGTCAAAGTGGCTTCTTCTGGTTCTGCAATCCCAGAAGTGATGACATCCCAATACTCTTTGGACCTTAAGAAATTTTCCATCAACATGCTCCAGTGGTCATAATGACCATCAAAGCGAGGAATTGCTGGTTGGACAAAATTAGTTTCAGTGGCCATGACTATCGCTGCACATGACTCTTATTTTCAGTTTTGGCTACTCTCGTCCTTTTTCGTTGATAAGGAAAAAAAAATCTCACTTACTTTTTTTCTCTCACTGTATATGCTCTCCCTTATCTCACTTTAGTTTGCTACAAAAAGCAAAAAGCACTCTCACCCACTTTTCTGACTTCACATGCTCATTCTAGGAACTCTCACCCACTTTAAAAATTTTCTCTCACTTGTGTACTCTTTGGCTCTTGATACCACTGTTACAAATAGATAACATAAAAATAAAGAGAGAATCAATTAGCTTCTATAAGTTTTATTGAATGACTGATGGCCTATATGTAGGCTGTACTACAACGGGAAAAAACAAAAAGATAAAACAGACTTGTAACAAATTAGATTGTGATCCTACTTGTTGCTAAAGTTTAGGACCCACTAATGACTAAACGAACTAAAATTTTCTGATTCAGGAACAAGTCAAACAACTAATCATAAAATATCTAACTCCTAACACTGTGTTGGTTATGGATTGTTGATTGTGGGTCGCCATTGCAGAAAGCTCTTCTCCAACCTGTGCCCATAATTTTCAGAGACCCAATGCAAAACGTGAGAATAGATAAAGGGTTAATTTTTGAGGTCGCTGTCGAGGAAAGAGGCGATGTCGCCATCGTCACCGTTGAGGAAGGAAGGAGGCAGTGCTCTTCTCCAACCGGTGTCGTGTTAATGAACATGGAAGGCCCTTTAGAAAAAGGGTTAATTTTTTCCCTATCCTGTTTTATTCCCCTCTTAACCCAAGGCCCCCTTGGATTTAGATATTACACGGTGAGTAGCATAAAAAAAGCTAATAGGATAATTGTTCATCAAATAATAGATAAGAACTTGATAAAATAGTCTATCTTATCCTATTCTTCTTATTAGATGTATCAAACGGATCTTATAATTTAATATAAATTATAGATTTATATATATTTACCGAGTCATGCAATTGACCCAGTGACCCACTGGTTGAACCAGTGACCCAGTGACCCAATACCTTGACCGGGTCAAAGACCGGGCCGAGTTTAATAACATTGTGATGTACCATTATTTTAATAATGTGACATACAAGTTTAAATTTATCACTAAAAAAAGTTTAAATTTATAATTTTAAGCAAATTAGTTAAATTATTTACCATTAGCACGTTTTTAATGACATTAATTTGATGTGATATGCATCATAGCTTTTTGCTTTTTAAAATTATTTATCATTTTCCATTTTCCACCTAATTAATTTATAAAACTCAATTAGCCATACAAAGTTGAGTAGATAGAGAGAGGAGCTAAGTTAATGTGTTACCAAAAAAAAGTATGATGGGACTCAAGTGAGAGAAAGAGAGAAAATATTGAGGAGAGAAGGAAGAAAAAAAAGTTTGGTCTAGGTGTCAAATTTTTAGTGAAAGGACCAGTACTCGACCATATTAAAAAATTCCATAGAAAGAGAGAATGCGAGTTCTCACATCAAATACATCTTTGAGGAGGGATATTTTTGTTTTCTTTGGTATTCAGAACAAAAAAATTTAACTGTGACTAAGTCCCGACTCAGAATTAGTAGTTGAAACTTATAAAAATACGGGGAGGCATATAAAAAATAAATAAATAAAAAATCTCATTTTCATTTATATCAAATTCGGATAAAACTACGTTAATAGTTTAGTAGGCTTTATAATAGAACTATTGTTTAATTACTTTACCAAAACCACCTCAGTTTAGCTAAAGATTGAAAAGACACATTAGAGGTATATGAATAAATGCTAAGCTTAATAACCAGACTATCAACAGGAAAATAACACTGAAATGAGTAATTGAGTCATTAATTAACATGCTCTCAATATATATATATATATATAGGGCAGAAAGTGGGTTAGGCTGGGCCAAGCTTTGTCTCGAAAAGCCCAAGCCTATGTCAAAAAATTTCAAATTGGCCTGACACAAGCCTAGTACGAGTCTAACTGTTAGCTTGGCTTGACCCGTTTATTAAAAAACAAATGGTCTGACCTAGCCCGTTAGCCTGTTAATTTTTAACTTCCAAGCAGAACCATGAATCAACTTTAGAAAATACTCAAATTCTGTTGTTAAACCAAAAAACATAATTTCAACGTCTAAACAGAATCATGAATCACAACAAAACTCATACAATTTGTATTTAAGTCACTTTCAAAAGAAAAAAGCTCAAACTAAATAACATATTTTTCATCAGATCCAACAAACAAATCCATACTATGTAAATTAAAATAACTACATGAATCCAACAAACACATCATGATGCTTGTAGTATGTATAATCTCTCAAAAACTTTTTAATATATTCATATATACAATCTAACATGTTGAGATGCTGGTTACTTCTTCATAAGAAATAAAGTCAGATTTCTATTAAAATATAATCAAATATAATTAAGTTATAAATAATTGCAATTGATTAAATTTATATCTTTTGTTTTTTCTCATACTTATTATATTTCATTTTAAATAAATAGTACAATATAGGTCGGCCTGTAGGCTTATAAGCCAGACATTGTGAAAGTGAGTCTACGATCTTTTTATTAAACAAGTTTTTTCAAGACCCAAGCCCGGCCTATTTTACGAAATATACTAGGTCAGGTATGGCCTGACGTAGGTCGAGCCGAAGGCCCCCGAAAGCCGGCTGACCCAGTTTCTCCCCTATATATATATATATATATATATATATATATATATATATATATATATATATATATATTTAAAATTAATATATTTTATTTGATATTTAAATTAAAAAAATTATGGCTTGCCAAAAGAAAATATCAATAATCTCTCATTCTCTAATCATGATTTTTGTTGTATAACTATTTTTCTTAGCATAAAATATAATAATTTAACTAAAATAACATATTTTAATATATTTATCTGCATCTTATTATTTTATTTTATTTTGGTAAAATTTTTATCAGCATCTTGGGGGGTGAAGAGATAGATACAATATATACATCATCTTGGAGATTCGATTAGTTCAAGCTTCCTAAAGTTTCCAGAAATTGCTTTTTGACCTTTCTCTCTCTCTCTCTGCTTTCCTTTGTTAATTCAATACCCTTATATATCAGTTAAACATCCTCTTTCTTCTTCCTCAACCTTTGAGTCAAATTTGTTCATATCCCAGAAAATTGAACAAAACCCAAATTCAAACACCCTTTAAAGGATTCAGCTTTATTTCTTTCTGCTTCTTTCGATAATCTTCAATTGGTGGGGTGTCTCAGGGAAGAAGAAAAATATGCTGCAGTTGTTCTTCACAGTGGCTTTCTCTGCGGTTCCTTTGACCCTTTATGTTCCACCAATCAGGAGCTTAAACCTCTTTGTAGAAACCATGGAATATATGGTAAGAGAATCAAGAACATACCGCAACAGAGTTTACCCTCGCCTAAGGGTAGCTTGGTCTAGGATCATGGATATCATGCTCTGCAACACAAGGTAGATTTTGAGATTGGCTTTGAGTTTGAACCAGATCTTATATTGTAAATATTTTCCTTTTTTTTTTTTTTACTGAACCCCTCTTCTCGCTCTAGATTGTCTTTCAGTCCTTTTTTCTTTGTTGCATTTACTTCAATTCCCAACCTATCATAAAGCTGCTATGTTGTGATGAGTTTGTTCTTGGGCAGTGTTGCTCTTGTTGCGGATTATGCTGTAGAATTGTTGTGATTGTGTTAAGGGAAGAATCTTTTTCATTTTAAATAATATAATTTGTTTTATTTTACTGTGATAAAGAGATTAGCTTACCAAAAAAATAAAAAATTAGATTCTTATTTTTTTTTTCATGATTTATCTCTTTTTATTACTTAAGATCACATAATTTTATATTCTTTAAAATAATATAATTTTTTTTCTTTTTTAATTATTTTGATTTTGTAAGGTGATTCCTCTTCAATAGCCATAGCTAACCTTACAAAAAAATAATAGAACTTTCTGGGGTTCATCGTAGTCTAGAAAAATGTTGTTGTTTTTTTTTTTAATTGCTGATCAATGAAATATGTGATTGTTATGATGAGGTAGTTTGATCCTTTGTTTTATTCAAGATTTGGGCCACAATGGTAGTGCCACCTGTTTGTAAATCACATTCCGCCAACAAAAAAGGATAACATTATTAGCTTCTTCAAAAAAAAAAGAAAAAAAAAGGGGATAACATTATTAGTTAGGTGCTTTTTGTAGTAAATAATTCTCTTAATATATATTATTTTGTGTAACATATCTTTTTTAATTATTCATACACTAATAACATGCAATAATACTTAAAAAAAATGCCGTGACAAGAGGTACTACATATAAACATGAGATAAATATTGGAGAATATACTTTTCATATTATATGAGATAAATAAATATTAGAAAATATGTTTTGCATATTATATGAAATAAAATTGTCTCATACAGGAGATTCATTAAGAAGAAGAAAGAAAAAAAAACATGTTTTATTCATTTTATTTTATTTTGGTATATAGGTTTTATTCATTTTTTATGTGTATGAGATAAAAATTATCTCATGAAAAATATATTTTCCATAAATGTTATACTTTTATTTATTTGAACTATTTTGGCTTTTCAATGACAGCTTTTGTCTTAAAGAACAATTAATATTCGTAATTAGTATTTTTAATTACATAAATTTAAAATAAAAGATTAATTACTTTTCGTTTAATATGTTATTTCTTTAACAAGCAAACAAGAGCACCTAAATAAATCCCTTCAAATAAATAAACCGAAGAGGGGGCGTTGGCTTTATCTTTTGGAAAATACAAATTTTCTCTTTGGATCTTGCGAATTGCGGCTGCAGAACACGGTTTTCGGTTTTACAATTAATGTACAAAACGACAAATTAACCCATAGATTGGCCCTGGCATGATTTTTGTTTTTATATTACTCAAATCCCTTATATTTTTTGGATCTTTAACAAATGTTACGGGTCTAATTTAATTTTACATAAAAAAAAAATTGACTTAAAGAATTAATGTGGATCTTTATTGAATTTTAAAGGAATCCTAATTTTACTTAATTAGATTTATTTTGAATTTTAAATGAATCACAAGTTAATTTTTTTTGAGTAAAATTTCTTTTCGGTCTCTAACAAAAAAGGGATAGGATATTGTGACACCCAAGTTATGTTACACCCATGTGACACCCAGTCAATTTCACCGTTAGATCGCTTATGTTGATCCATCGGTTATATTTATTTCCATCTTTGTATGGTCATGATTTTCCAAATTTAATATTTTATATTTATTTCTACCTTTGTATGGTTATGATTTCCCATATTTAATGCTTTCACTTTAAATTTGGAAAATCATGACCATACAAAGATGGAAATAAATATAACCGTTGGATCAACGTAAGCGATCTAACGGTGAGATTGACTGGGTGTCACATGGGTGTAACATAACTTGGGTGTCACAATATCCTATCCCAACAAAAAATACTATCACTATTTTCGTCTTTTACAAAAGTCAACTTTTGATTCCTCTATAATTATAATTCTTTGAAAATGTGGGCTTCAAAAATTTAATGAAGACCCAAATTAATCACTAACAAAGAATTAATATGAGTATTTTTTTTGTAAGTGACGAAAATAGAGATCATATTTAGAGCTTTACTTTTTTTTTTTTAAGAAGTTAAAATAGGTTCCTAATTTTTGTTAATGACCCAAAAACACTTTACTCTTACGGGGCGTTTGGTAGAGGAGAAATTTTTTTTATCCGAAAATTATGATTTACAGAAATATGATAGGAAAGAGAATTTGCCGGGAATGTTACAAAAAAACTGTTTGGTAGGCTGAAATTTTTCCAGGAATATTGAGTCAATTTTCCTATTCTATGTTTGGTTGATTGCAAAATATTACCGGAAATATGGAGCGAATTTACATAATTAACCTTTAATCTTTTTTTTCTTTTTCTTTTTTAGTTGAGGTTGTGATCTCGAAGGACTCGATGGAGGAGGACGATGTCAAGGCTTCTAGAAATAGAGGCCAAGCTGAAGACGATCGTTTGCTACGGTGTGGGAAGAAGCCGAAGGGTGAGGCTGTGGAGGATCTAGTCATGGATGAGACCATGCAAGACAAAGGAGAGGTAGGTTCTGAAAATTCACCGGTTGCTTCTGGGCTACCGGAAGGAGTAAAAGGGGATCTGAAGTGCAGCACCCAGCCTCGTGTGGTGACTTACAGGGATAAACTCCTTCGTTTAAATGGTCTGGGAGGACAACTGGATGTCGAAGAGGACTGGATCTCTATTCAGAAACGGGAAGAAGAAGAGGCTGATCTGTTGGAGGGGATTAATCAGGTCCTTCCTGATGATCCACTCTGCCCGCGCTACACTATTCCCGTAGAGGAACACAAGCGTGATTGTGAGCAATGGAGGAAGGCTCTCATCATCAAGATGTTAGGGAAGCGGATTGGGGCTAGATTCCTGATGTCCAGACTTGTGAGGTTGTGGTGTTTGGTAAGTTCCTATGAGCTGATTGATTTAGATAATGGATATCTGCTTATTCGATTCCAAGATGACAATGATTATCGTCATGTGCTGGAAGAGGGCCCGTGGATAGTGAATGATCACTATGTCATTGTTCAACGTTGGAGGCCACTTTTTGATCCTTATGATGAGGATTTTAGGAAAGTTGCTGTTTGGATAAGGATTCCGGGTTTGCCCATTGAGGTGCACAAACCTCGCCACTATGGAGAATTGGGAATTTCTTTGGTAGAACGCTGAAGGTGGATCGAAATTCACTTCGGAAAAATGAATTGGGTGATGCTGTTATCACAGAGAGAGGCAAATTTGCTCGAATTTGTGTAGAAGTTGACTTGAGAAAGAGTTTCCTGTCGAAGTTTACCATAGGGAGCAAGATCTATCATGTTGGATATGAGGGATTACACCTCATCTGCTTCAAGTGTGGCTTGTATGGCCACAGGAAGGATCAATGCCCAGCGGACCAAGCTCCAGAGGTTCAGACTACCGTGGAAGAGTCCAGTAAGGGGCAAGCTGTTCCTTCCAATGCCAAGCATGTGTGTGAGGTGACCAAGGAGAATCAGGGGGAAGCATTTAGTACCTGGATGGTTGTCCAGAGGCAGGCTAGAAGTCGTAAGTTGAAAGCCAAGCCAGTCAAGCAGGATGTTCATGAGGCGGTGGTGCAGGACACTAAGTCTATAGGGGTGAATCTGTCTGTAGGAAGCCCACCCAAAGTCTCAGGGGTGGTTAATTCTGACATCAGTCCGCCTGCTGTATGTTCTCCTCCAGCTAAAGTGACTGATCCTAGTATCTATGTTGCTGTTAAGGAGGAAGCTCTTTCTGGTGAGAAAGCTCAAAGGAGCTTAAAATCTCCTGATCATCAGTCAAAGAGGAATGTAACTAGGGATCCTAAGGAGCGAGCCAAGATCCAGCCCAAGGCCATTCTAAAGAAGCCAGGTGTTGAGAATATTCCTCTGAATGCTGGGATTGAGGGCCAACCCAAAGGGACCAGTAAAGTCAGGATTAGAAGTAAAGGGACCTTGGATGTAAGAGATTTTGTTGAGGATGGGAACAACATGGCAGCTAAGAAGGGCTTGAGTGTAGCTGGGCAGAATTCCCTGGGGATTAATTCTCCTAAACAGCATGGTTTGGTGCTTGATATTCCTCCCTCCTTGGTGGGGAGCTCCTCTTCCTTGAGTGCCTAGGTATGGCTTTGGAGTCGTACCTTTTGATTTGTTTTGTTTTTCTTTTAATATTAATTTTTATGTCTGTTTTATGTTGGACTTGTAGAGGGGTAGGGAAGAGAAGCTTCCCTCCCCTTATTAGAGATCTAAATAACAGGTTTAAAGTCAGTGTTTTGGCTTTGCTGGAGGTTAGAGTTGGTGGATCTAGAGGTGATAGGATCATTAACCAATTGGGGCTTTCGAGCCATTTCAGACAGGATCCTGTGGGTTTCTCAGGGGGTGTGTGGCTGCTCTGGGATGAGAAAAAGGTTAAACTGGATGTGTTACAGACTCATCACCAATTTGTGCATACAAGGGTTCACTATCTTGACTCTCTGAAGACTGACTTCATTACATTCATCTATGGTAGTCCTAGGAGACTTGAGAGGAGAATCCTTTTGGAAGAATTAATTTCCATAAGCCTCTTGGTGGACAGCCTTTGGCTGTTGATGGGCGATTTTAATTCCATTTTATCTTGCTCTGAGAAGATAGGAGGTAAGGAGATCTGTTGGAGTAGTATGTATGAGCTGCAACAGTGTCTTTTTGGGTGCAATGTTTCTGATTTGGGTTTCAAAGGACCTGATTTCACTTGGAAGAGGGGTAGACTCCAAGAACGTTTGGATAGAGCCTGTGCTAATGAAGAATGGAACCTAGCCTGGCCTAACAGATTTGTATCTCATTTGCCTTTCTTTGATTCGGATCATAGAGCTATTCTGGTGGCAAATGGTGATGGGGCTAGGCCTAGGGATTACTCTAGAAGCTTCAGATTTCTTGCAGCTTGGCTCACTGTCCCAGAGTTCGGTAATCTGGTCAAGGATAGTTGGGAGAATAATGAGGGGTGGATCCCAGCTAGGAACAAGTTTGAGACTGTAGCTAAAAACTGGCACCAGAATGTTTTTAGGAAGAACATGATTCAGAAAAACAGAATTTATTCTCGGTTGAAGGGGTTGGAGAGTTACAGAGCTGGTTATTATGATCATAACTTGGAGATTCTTCAAAAATCTCTTTGGAAGGAGCTGCAATTTATTCTTCTTTGTGAGGAATTGACTTGGTTCCAAAGGTC